ATATATATATATATATATATATATATATATATATATATATATATATATATATATATATATATATATATATATGATTTTGGGGGAAAAATATAAGTTTATAAAATATTTTAAAGAGTTTAACATTTTGAAATACTTTTGATGACTTGATGTCATTTTAACACAATTTGAAACCATTTGATTTGAAGACAAATAAAATCCATTTTGTGAGATATTTTGAAACCATTTTTTGGTAACAAAAAATCCTTATGTTAGACTTGTACCCCCCCACCCCCCCACCCCCCACCCTTAAAACTGTAAAAACTATGAAAATACGGGGGGGGGGGGGGGGGTATGAACTCACCTTTTAGAGGGTGATTCGATTGATGATTTGATATAGGACGTTTATTTCCACAAGTGAAATCCCGTAGTAAAACAGGTCCTATATAGTAATCTGTATAGTATATATGGAACCAATTAGCAAATATAATCATAGGAATGATTGGAAATTGGACTAACTTGTAAGTATAACTTACAAATAGGAGCCTTAGAAGCTAAAATGGAAGTTGCAATGATTTCATGACCAGGAGGGGTTCACGACCCAATGGGTATTCATGGCCCAATATTCTTGATGAATGAAGAACACCTGTAGAACCTAAGCAAGTTTGTAAGAAGATTCAAAGGTTTTCAGTCGGGTGTTCTTCGTGAAAACTAGTGAAATTAACAGTTTTCAGTCTAGTATAAGAAGATTGAAGGATGTTTTTGAAATGATAACAAGATCAAGAAATGATACTAGTTAGATCTTATGAAGAACTAGTGATTATTGCGTGAATATGATGAGAAAGGAAGACTTTAGCATGTTCTTGAGGAGAGAGGATGTTCTTGGTTGATGATACTTCAGAGAAAAGGGTTTTGATTTTCATTTGAAAGAGTAGAAATGAATTAAAATTATCCAATATATATACAGAAGGATTAATCTTAACCAAGTTTTAGTATATGTTATAAGGGTTTCGTACATATAAAGAACGCCGAAATCCGATTTATAACGAAGAAGTTATGACCCGTCGAAGTTTTACGGCAAAACCGGCACAGCACCGGGGGACGTAAATAGTGAATTTATGATAGAAGACTTTTTAGCCTTAGTAATATAAACTAAAGTCGTAGAATACAGTAAAGCGATAACATTAAAAAAAGAACGCCCAAATGTGACTTCGTGTGAGGAAGTTATGAATTTTCTAAGATTTGACATAACAGTGCACGACCCGAAACTCGAATTTTAGTTTGAGTGGTTTTTGGCCTACGTGACCTAAATTAGAGTTGAAGATATCATTAATAGGAACTCAAATGTAAAAAGACAGACGAAAACATAGTCCGTATGTAGAAGTTATGAATTTTACGCGGACATTTAACAGTATAATCTCCTCATGCTGTTAAATTTAAGATCGGTCGAGAATTAGCCGACGGAGTCTAAATGAAAGTTTTAGATCTTGTTTTTACCTACGCACGGATATGAAGAATGTCGAGAGTAGAGCTCGTATGTTAAGGATATGGACGAAACTTGGTCCCTACTCTTAAAGCGCGATAAATTCGATACAGTTTTGTAAATTTGAGATAGAATGAAAATTAGCTGACGGTGTCTAAATAAAAGTTGTAGTACTAGTAAATACCAACGTGTGAATATAAAGAACGTCAAAAATGGAGTTCGTATGAACAAGTTACAAATTATAATAACATATTTATGTATCTAAATAAAGTATAAATCATATATACGTACACACACACACACACACACACATATATATATATATATACACACACACACAAAAAAATGTATATATCATTAGAAAGGTATCGACGATGTGGTTATTATAAGACTAGTGTTGAGTACTTTTGACATTAGTTAGTACAAATATCGCTAAATCTATTTAAAATAGTATTATGAAAGGGTGTTTAGTCGTTTATATAACTATAAAGTCATTAAGGAATTATGGAGGGTAGTTTTTTAAATTCAATTACTCTAAATAAGAGGCTTGGGCTCTCATATTTCTTGCACCATTCTCTTGATTCAAGAGTCTTTCTCTTCTTATCCCCAAGCATTTCGGTCCCTCGTGATTCGACTTCTCTTTCTGTAGTTTTAGTATAGTAAGGTGAGCATTGAAGCGCTGCATGAATCTTTCCTAGAAAGATTCAGCGACGTAGTTCTACCCCTACAGAGCCCGACTCCTAGCTAAAACCCCCTTGTAAATAAGTTATGATTACCTTATTTTAATATAGCTTATATTTAAAATTAGTATTGTGATTATGAAATTATAATAAATATTTGAGCTATTATTATATAAGTGTCATTATAATATCTTTTTAACTACTCGTGGTACGGGGAATCAGGTTTAAAGGGCTGCATAGGGTTGTTGGATTTCAGAAGTGCTATATGCCAAAATGGTCCTACCCTCCGATGTTTTATGTCTGGCTCGTGTCTATACATAGTGGTTGGAAAGTATTGTTTAAACACTTATATAATAATAATAAGACTAATAATTATTCATGGTAAATATTAGACTAAAATATAGTGGTTATAATATTAGGTTTTGTCGAAGGAAATTATTTTAAAGTAAACGAAGCGATGTCCGAGTACCGAGTCACCACCTTATCAAGTGAGTGCATGGTCCCTTTCATCTTACACATAAATATGAAATTTTTAATATAAGTTACGTGTTGTTAGTGCATGGTCCCTTTCATCTTACACATAGATATGAAGTATTTAATATAAGTTACGTGATGTGAGTGCATGGTCTCTTTCATCTTTCACATAGATATGAAGTAGTTTATATAAACTATGTGTTATATGTGCATATTATTTGTATAATTGCTATCTATACTGGATGAATGATTTTATACAAGTTTTATATGATTTAAACTATATATGTATTTATATCTACATAATATGTTGGGTAAAACATTGGTAGATGAAATATGAGTTGGATGATGAGTTAAGAGGTGATATAGACCATGAGGTAAGGGTGAGAGGTGGACGCTGTGAGAAGTCTTATTCGCAAATTTTGGCCCCATCATCTAGCATAGTATGGATGATCACCACGGACTATTCTAGACAGTCCAGTGGAACACTAGCAGGCTCGCAACCTGCAGGTGTTGTGAACGATGTGTTCACCCGGTGTACTCTAAACCTTGGTGATCATGAAGACTTGATGCCTAAATGTTGGTGACTATGTAGACTTAGTGCCTAAACCTTGGCAATTATGCAGACTTGATCCCTAAACCTTGGTGACTATGCAGACTTAATGCCTAAACCTAGACGATCATGCATACTTGATGCCTAAGCCCTGGTGACCATGCAGACTTGGTGCCTAATCCCTGGAGACTATACAGACTTAGTACCTATTGTGTAAACCGTGGCAACGATGGACTTCGTGTCAATTCCTTAGGATGATTCTTAGAAATAAGTGAACGAGGAATAGTTGATTCTCAGGGTAGATCCTTAAGAGTAAAGAATATAATGGGGATGGGTAATTGGGTTGATTGTTTGATGTTTAAACATAATAATTATATTATTGTGGGTTGAAAACCCTAAGTACTCACCAGGTTTCCCAACCTGACCCACTCAGTTTATTTATATCACAGGTGTTGATATGAAGTCACATTACACTGAGGGATTAAGGAGATATAAATTACTAGTGATAATTAATGTAAGTTCTGTTTATGCTTATGTTTCAGTATTGACGATGACATCTCAAATGTTTTAAAATGAATAAAAATGCTTTTCTTCAGAAACGCTTTGATAACGTATTTATCATGTTTTACTGGGAATAAATTTTGCAACATTTTTATTATAAGAGGTACTCTGATTTTTATAAAGCATAAACAAAATCGGTCTTTTCTGGCCGTGAAAATGGGGATGTCACACACACACACCCCCATATATATATATATATATATATATATATATATATATATATATATATATATATATATATATATATATATTATATATATATGTGTGTGTGTGTGTGTGTGTGTCTGGGTGTATGTATGTATGTATGTATGTATAACGACTCCCATGATACAAATTTTATGCAAAATCGATCAAAAACTGGTGTTTAATCGAGAACTATATGTTTCGACTGTGAGTGCGACCGCACACGGCGAATACGGCCGCACACGCTGTGTGCGGCTACACAAACTGGTGTGCGGCAGGACCGTGTGCGGCTGCACACACTTTTTACGAAATGAATCTTGTGTACGGTTGTACACAACCACGTGTGCGGTTGTATGCATTCTCATGTGCGGTTGCACACTTCTTTATGTGTGATCAATCATGAACAGTTGAAACAAATATGGTTAAAATTATTTTTACCCTAATGTATGCGTGTGTTTTTTTTCAGATTAAAATGGGAGATCTAGAATTCACTAAAGTTCGCAACTCGACTATCTTTCTTGAAAATCCTCCAGCAACTCACAATGATCTAAAGTTCATTGTTGAAGGTGTGAAGAAATGTTGTTTGGAACATGCATTGACAACCAGCCTGGCAATTTATCAGAACTTGATCAAAGATTTCTGGAGAAGTGCAGTCACGAAGAAGGATGACAAAGATGAAAAGTACCTTGAAGCCACAATACAAGGAAAGAAGATTCAAGTTTCAGATAGGATCATTCGAGAAACACTTCGAATTGATGACAGACCACAATATTCCATGGAAATTAATGTGCATCAAACTCAGGATGTTTTAGACCACATGGGGTATGAAGGAACATTTCCTCCTACCATCAAGAAACTGCTTCCTCCCTGTTGAAAATATTTAGCTCATGTATTTGTGAGCTGTATTTCTGGTAGGAGATCTGGTGCGAACGAAATCTCTCTGGTCAATATAGGAGCCATCACTGCCTTGGCTTCAGGAATTGAATTTAATTTTTCAAAGTTTATCCTGCACGAACTGGTTCTAAATATTGAAGGAAACAAGAGAGACAAATTTTTGATGTACCCAAGATTTCTTTAGATCATTTTCAACATTATGCATCCTGAGTTGCAAAGAGGAAATAAGACATTGGATCTTAAATCTGTCGGTCTAAGTGCATTTGGTTTAATGAAGCAAAAAGAGGAGGAAAGTTTGTTTTTGAAGGGAAATTTCCATTAATAAAATTTGGAATTTTTGCTGAAGATAGTGATCAGTCAAACTCGGAAGATCAATCCATTCCTACAGAGACTGAAGACGTTGTAATTTCAACTTCTGAGCCACAAATTGAAGAAGTTCATGTTTCTCCTATAGTTGTAGTAGCTGGGGATCAGCTACATCGTGTGGAAGATGAAACTCAATCTGTTCATCAAGAAGATGATGAAGATCTTAATGATGATGTGGAGTTTTTGAAAGAGATAGACTTCACCGGGATCAATGATGATATCCCTACAAACATCGAACTTGATCTTGACAATGACGAGTTTGGTCCATTTTCGGGGCTTGACAGCGAATGTTTTAGAAAGGTCAATGAAGTTGCTTCTTCAGCAACCAAGGCTGGGGAAGACAGTAATGTTCTCAAGATTTTGCTCTCCTCTTCCAAGCCTTTGGAGATTTCTTCAACTCAAGGACATGTGAATTCAGAAATTCCTCCCTCTGTTTCAATTGTCTCAACTTCTGCTCCACTTGTTCCTGAATCATCTCAACCTCAAACCTCCCACTCTTCATTGGAAAGAAGCAAATCAAATACAAATCTGGAGGTGCTAATTGTCAGCCATGCACCTCAGGACTTTTCCAGCATTACCACTACTACTGTTTTCATTCCACCAATACAATAAGATGAAGGCCCTAGCACAATGTTTGAGACAGGAGATTCATCCTCTATCCCAGAATATTCTCCTACCATACCATCACTAGATGAAGCTTCAATCAGACTGGCAAAGCACCTTGCTCAACACAGTCCAACCGCTTCTTCTCTTGGCAAAGGAATATCTTTCAGAGAATAGCACTCAGGTGATGACAAATCTACTGTGTCAGAACTTCGAGAAGAGATTGGTTTTCTCAAACGGGAACTTATTGAAAAGAACATTCATATGGAACAACTCACTTCTCACATAGAAGAGCTTAAAGAAAACGATGAAGATAAGTCAAAGCAAATTAAGGATCTACAGACGAATCTTGGCTCTGTGAATGCTTTCGATTTCAATGTAAAGAACGTTATGTATGATGCTTTTGGAGATAAAGTCAAAACCCTATTTCAGCATCCACACAGAATCGAGGATCCTCCCTCGGCCCCCACACAATCTACTTCTGGCAACCTTCCAGTTGATCCACCTGCTCCTACAAAAACTACAGTTGTCAATAGATTTGAAAAGGAACCTGAAGGCAACAGAGCTCGTATCACAATCAAACAGGGAAAGAGAACTATTATGGCTAGCAAAAGCAAAGGGCTACTCTTCATGAAAAATTCAAACGAGAATCGCAAAGCCAAGGACCCTGTGCTAACAGTGACTGATCTCAAGAAAAGAAAATTTGGTGATGAGTTCGGAGATAGATCGGGAATTCGAATGTGAGCCTTTGATCCTAAGTCAAACATGTGGGTTGTGAAAAGGAACTCAGGAAATCCTAAGTATTACAAGAGAACCCATGATTTTTAACTCGTGGATCTTGCTGAACTATCGAGAGCCCCATTCCATAATCCCTCTGAAGATCCTAGTGCTACAAACTTCAAAAGATTTCTTGACAAATAGGTCAAGGAAAACTTTCCAAAAATGAAGACTGCAAGAGCTTTGTACCGAAAAGACAAAGAAATTCTAGATCCTAAATCAGGTGAGCATATGAAGATTATCTTTTGGCCTGCGACTAAATAGCAGAAGGAAATTCCTATCCCTCAACACTTTCGTGAGGGATATCTTGATAATATCGAATTTTTGGCTTACAACGATGAAATTGTCACTACTGCAATAAAATTCAAGGATAGAGAACAAGTCTTGATGCTGATAAGTGTTAAAGATCTTCTTAGGTTCAGGGAAAGGGATATACGCACTCTGTCTCGTCACCAGATTATATGCAGAAAAGATGTTATGGAGGCGGCTGCTTAAGAGTTCATTGGAATGGTTGCCACCATCATAAATGGAAGAATGTGGATGGGTTCTATGGGAAGGTCCGATTTGAAGCTGTATGAGAAGCCAACAGAGTGAAGATCAAAACTGTGCTAGCCTCAAACCAAGGGGGAGATTGAAAGACTATAATATTGTTGTTTGAACTAGGCATTTTTCCTATATAGATCTTATTAGGGTGGTATTGTATGTAGTGTAGTGGTGCCATGGTTTAGACTTGGTGTGTGTGCAGCCTCACTCGTGTGTGCAGCTACACACGTGTGTGCGGCCGCACACGTTGTGTGTGGCCGCACATGCATGTATGGCTGCACACTTGTGTGCTGGTGTGGGTAGTATTTAAAGGGGGCTCTCATGTGTTAGTTGTACTTGATGAACAACGACGTGTGTGTGTGTACTTTTAAGGTGCACCTGACAGTTATGAGCAATAGATGTGTGCATGCTTGATGTTATTTCTCTTCTACTCTTTCTACACTCTATTTTGATTGCTATTTGCTTCATTGATTACTAATTTGGATCTACATTTGGGGACTAATAGTATGGTTTATTTATGATTCTTGAAATTGTTGATATGAACATTGATGAACTTATCAGTTTAGAAGATCAAAGGAATTATTTGTAACTTGCTTGGTAGTTTAATTCTTGATCTTGATGTGTTTTAATGGAATCCATAATTTGTCCTCAAGTTACCGATTACCAAAATTCACACTTTTAAAGTCCATTATTAAACACATAGGTTACATAAAATGAAAAGTCTCTCATTTTATTAATCCATTAACTCATAAGTTATGAAATATGAAAAGTTTTGAAAGTTACAAAACTTGCCCTCAAGTTTTGGAACATGTAAAGTCTCTTTAAAAACTTTAGTTCCAACCCCTATAATTTTAAAAGTTGAAATTCAACCCTTATACTTTATAATATTATAAATTTATATATATATATATATATATATATATATATATATATATATATATATATATATATATATATATATAAGAATAAAAGTCGTTTTACCGTTAGTAGGCCTCATTCACAAAGCCAGTCTATAAGGGGGTATAAGATTGTTGCCTATAAAATGGCAGCTTAATGGGTGTCCCCTCTCACCCCCCGCTTCCTTGATTGGTGGATGGTCGTTAGCTGAACGGGTAGGATAATGACTTTAAATCCCCATTAAAGCATGATGAATGTAAAGTAACTAAATGTATTTAAAAAGTTCCCAATCTTAGTTACTTTAGGAAATATGAATAAGGTACTAACCCATGAAATTACACTGTGCACTTTGCTTAAAGTCGTTAGTGGAGCGTGTGTGGTTAACCGACACATTGATTGAGTGATAAACATTAAGGGTACCAATTAATTTGCATGGTTACTTCACACCTTATTTTGTGATACTCGATATCCTAGTTAAAAAACTTGAAGGGCACACTCGAGATTGAAATACGCCATTGAAAAGTTTAATGAATTTCAAAGAATCTAGGAGTTTCAAAACCAATTAAAACCTAATAATTTATTTCGCGTTTCATGGTGTAAATTGGTGAATCGTCATTCACCTACCTTCAAATGTTTTATAGTTTGGATTATGGCATCCCTCTTCTAAGTTACAAAATATTGTGTTGGGTCCTAGCCTTAATTTTACATTTGGGTGTTTTATTAAGGACTATCTTTATATCAAATCTAAACTTGTCTTTCTTGTTTTCAGATGTCTTCCAACAATGTTGCTTCTTGCTTAAACCCTACCGGCTCCTTCTCTCTCATGAACCTTTGTGGGAGAGTCATCTTCGATGGTTCCAACTTTATGGATTGGATCCGGAACATCAGGAAGGTTACTTGTTACGAGGATAAGGAATATGTAATCAATAAGGAGCGTAAGGAACTTGATGAGTCGTCTGCTACTCCTGAGGAGATCGTTGAATTCCAGACTCATGAGAGAGATGCCACGAAAGTGGCATGTATCATGTTGGCCACAATGACAGATGAGCTCCAAAAGTCCTATGAGGACTATTACCCTTTTGAGATGCACCAGGACTTGATGGACCGCTACCATCAAAGTGTTCGCCAAGAGAGGTATGGCATTATCTGCTCCATGATAACAACCCGAATGAAGGATGGTGAACCCATCACAGACCACTTGTAGAAACTGCAAAGGTATGTGGACCGTTTGCTGAAGCTAAATGTGAACTTCCCCGTGGAGTTGGTAATTGATATCATTTTACACTCCTTACCTTCTTGTTTTGATCAATTCTGAATGACATACCACATGAAAAAGGAGGAAGTTACACTCATCAAACTTCAAGGACTCTTGAAGACCGTTGAAAGTGGCCATAAGGGTAATTCGGTTGTTACCACCCTTACTCTTACCGCGACCCCTGTCTTGGCAATCAGGCAAGGAAAAGGGAAGAAGAGTAAGTGACCTTCGAAGGGTACCAATGGAAAGTCCTTTGATGTATCCTCTTCAAGTGGAACCAAGAAAGGTTCTGTAACTCCTTCTGCTAACCCTAAAGAGGTTGAATGCTTCTATTTCCACAAAAATTCGCACTGGAAGTGAAACTGCCCAAAGTATTGGCAAGATGTCAAGGATGGGAAAGTGAAACCCAACCTTGCAGGTATTTACACTATATTGTCTAATAACTCACCCCATTCTAATTCTTGGGTCCTTGATACCGGCTGTAGTATTCATATTTGTTCTGATTTTCAGGGACTAAGAAGAAGTGAGGATATGGAGCATAGGAAGATAAGCTTAATCATGGGGAATAAGGAAGCATCACCTATCACAAAGATTGGAGTTTATACTTTGTTTCTAAGTAGTGCGTTAACATTAGATTTGAATAAATGTTGTTACTCGTCTGAAATGGCGAGAAATATTATTTCCTTTCATGCTTTGTACAAACAAGGGTTTACCTTTTCTTTTGATAATGAATGTAGTGGTATTAATGTTTTCTTTAATAATGTTCATATTTTAAAGCATTACCTTGTGATGGTGTGTATGAAGTGTTGTGTATTGATTCTTCCACTAACTTGGATAAAGCATCATTGTGGCATTGTAGTCTTGGACATGTAAGCAAGAAACGCATAGGCTAACTCCAAAAGGATGGAATCTTGGAGTCATTTGACCTAAATTCGGATGATAGTTATGAATCTTGTCTACTTGGAAAAATAACAAAATCACCCTTCACTGGTTCTTGTGTTGGGGGTGAAGGTTTGTTGGATCTAGTACACACTGATGTGTGTAGACCCTTCATAACTGCCACAAGGGATGCTAACCGCTTCTATGTGACTTTTACTAATGATTTTAGTAGATATGGATATGTCTACTTAATCAAGCATAAGTCGAAAACCTTTGAAAAGTTCAAAGAGTTTAAGTAGGAAGTGGAGAATCAATTGGGCAGGGACATTAAGATGCTTCGATCCGATCGAGGTGGTGAGTATCTTAGTACAGAGTTCCTTGACTATCTTAAGGAATGTGGGATTGTCTCACAATTGACACCTCCCAGGACACCACAACTAAATGGTGTGGCTGATAGGCGTAATCAAACCTTGTTGGACATGGTTCGTTCCATGATGAGTCGAGCTTCGCTACCAATCTCATTTTGGTGGTATGCCTTAGAGACTATCGCTCATATTCTTAATCTAGTCCCTACAAAGAAGGTTACCAAAACACCTCACGAGATGTGGACTGGAAAAGTTCCCAATCTAGACCACATAAAGATTTGGGTTTGCGAGGC